TGACATCACAACACAAATTACGGCTATGTTCATATGTATACATTTTAGAATATGAATAATGTGTTCAGCAACCATTCATCGACTATTGCATATCTGAAAATTGAACATTGATGCATATCCTTGTTGAAGCTTCCTTCCAATATAAATTTAATGATAGAATAATAAAATGTTAGGATTGGTTTCCATGCAAGTATAATTCAAGAACATGCATACATATAACACAATTGGTCGAATGGACATGAAAAGAGCTACCTAAATATGCACCAAGGTCAAAACTGCCATTAAAAGCGAGCTAAGCTTCATGGTTTAAAAGTATTAAAGTATGTATCTTGACTGAAAGCTTCATTTACATTATTCCTTCACCATCTTCACTTGTTATGGATTATAAGAACATGACATATTAATATGACATCTTCATCAATTACATGATTGATAATGATCTAATTTTATCTTCATTTTGTATAGGTTTTAGTCATTCCATTCACAAGTATGAATCAGAGACCATAAAATCATAGGGAGGGATGCAATATTTACAAGCTTCTGGATCCCCTTTCAAGCTTTCAACATAGAAAGACTAAAATCAACAAAAAAGGGGGGAAATGCAATCTTTAACCAGCTAATCGAAGGAGAGGAAACTTGAAAGAGGATTCTGCAGCAGATCCAAGGCGAGTGGAGAGGAAGAAGAATGCATGTGAGAAGATACCTTGATCAGAGTCGGAGGTGGCGGCTACTCGGAGGCGGAAACAGTGACTCGGAGGCAGCGACGAGATGGTGTTGGCGACGCGGATGCGGTAGCGGCGACTCGGAGGCAACGACGAGTTAGAGGTGTTGGCGACGCAGAGGCGACGACGAGCTGTTAGGGTTGTGGGGGAGAATAGGGGATCGACTTAGGTGAAAAAAGAACTCACGGGAACTCAAAACACTTTTTTGGTGTTTTGAGAAAACCGATTACTTTTAGGCTTTTTAATGGGTCAACCCAAAAAACACCATATTTACCAAACATGTTTCATTCTTTTTTTAAGAAAAAAGGAAATGTCAAAAACGCCCAGTTGCCAAACGCTCCCTTATGCCTCGTTTGGTACGTGGGAATGGACAGACTTGGGAATGGAATGGAAGAAGGAATGGAATGGATTGCATGTGGGAATGGAATGGTCATTCTCATTCTCTTGTTTGGGTGCGTTCGTAGAATGAAGCTAGAATGGAAATCTCATTCCCATTCCCATGTTTGGTATCACTAGTACACAAGTGAGAATGAAATCTCATTTTCTAATAATGCCCTTACAACAACATAGATTTTTAATAAGATAAAAAATAAACATTAATGATAATAACTAAATAATTTTATATACGCATATGTTATATTAATCTAGGTATGTGTTATACTAATGCTCGTATTATCCATCAGGTGTATGTTTCGTTTATATTTTTCAAACAATACTCGATATTTCTTAGTCTTAAAAATTAAAGAAAAATAAAAAAAAAGATTATCGTATCTTTCATAGGTCCAAAAAAAAAAGAATGATATCCACAATCCACAGTTCTAGATATATAAATTAACTTATTTGATAAAGTATCAAAATCACTCAATTCATAATAGCAAAAATCCATAAAACAATACCAACTAAAATAATAAGTTTCGAAATAGCAAAATGATATACTAGCCTAAATTGTCAATCTAAAATTGCCCACTTGCATAGCGCCTCACCCAAACATTCTTTATTATTAATATGGATATAATTAAAAAATACTTAACTAGTTTTTGATTCTCACTTGAATGGGAATGACCATTCCTTATCTTCTCACTTGGAATGCTCATTCCCACAAATAGTGGGAATGATCATTCCTAGGGAATGGTCATTCCAACATCTAAAATATAGGTGTGTTTGGTATGAGGGAATGGGAAGTGGGAATTGCATTCCATTCCTCCTCATTCCCGCGTACCAAACGAGGCGTTAGTGTTGAAAACACATGAGACTACTAGTCACTTGTGTTTTATTAATCGCTAATCACCTCATTCAAAAAACCCAACTTTTTCTCAACTTCCCTCTCCCTCTCCGCTGCCAAATCCGCCCAAAAAAAACTCCAATCTTTTCGAAACCCAATGAATCTAGATCAACTGTGGGCCCTACCTCCCCCTCTCCTACCCTCCTCGTTCGCACCCCTCTCTCTTCCAAGTACTACAACATCAGCAGCCACCTCAGCACCGACAACAATAGCGGGTTCACGTCTGATGCCAAACCTGAAACCGAACTCGAGCAATAGTTACTACAGTCAGAATCGATGCCGATGGAGAGGCTGACGATGGATGAGGACGGCGACGACGATGAGATGGAGGAGGAAGACTGCAGCACCAATAGCGAAAGCATGTTTGGGTCCTAAGCCGAACCCGAAACCGAACTCGAGCGGTCGCTGTTATATGGTCGGAATCGATGCCAGTGGCGAGGCTGACGGCGGATGAGGACGGCGATGGAGATGAGACAGAGGAGGAAGAGGGGCAACGGTTCGCCGTTAGGGTTCAGGTTCTTGAATATGGGGACGATGAAAATCCTAGTTTGGAGATTAGCGATCGCTAAACACACGAGACTAGTAGTCCTGTGTATTTTCAGCCCCAAAAATTATAAAATCAGCCTCTTTTTGGTCAGCTTTGTTGAGCTGGCAAAAAAAGATCGATTTTACTAATTATTTAGCAAAAATGTTGTTTTTGCTAAAAATTTTTAAAAAGGGACTTTTTAAAAGAACTCTCCGGAAAAATTATATTCTTTCGTGGTAAATAAAAACATATAATTGTAAAAACATATAATTGCACTTAATACTGTATAATTCCCTAATATTACATTTATATACCCCTCAATTATGTTTGACACCATTTTCATACCCTAAACTTTTTAAAACTCTCACATATATACCATTACTTATCTTTTTGGCAGCACTTGTATGCCCTAAAGTTTTTAAAACTTTCACTTGAATATCATAAAGACTTTAAAACCGTTACTTGAATATTCTAAAATTTTTAAAACTTGCACTTAAGTATCATAAAAATGTTTAAATGCAAGTTGAGAAAAACTACGTGCACGTTTTAAAAACTTTAAGGTACATTTAAGTACTACCAAAACAAGTGAATGTATATAAGTGCAAGTTTAAAAAACTTTAGGACAAGCGCTGCCAAAAACAAGTAAATGTATATATGTGCAAAGTAGGGAAAACTATAGGACATTTATGTGCAATTGAGCCTTCTAAAAATTCACTAAACAATAACAATAGCGACACAACTTTTATTTCAAAATTTACTAGCCATGCAAATGGATCATATTCTCTCTGTTTTTTCCCTCACTCAAGATGAATAGTATATAGCCGTCAAATAAATAATATATATATAATAAATAGTTAGAAATTGGAAGGTAATATTTCTCTATTGAGTTTTCATAGAGAAGCGAATCCAAATCCCTTTTATAAATCATAAAAAGAAAAATATTTACGGCTCGTATTTGTTTAAAGTAGAAAAAATATAGTTCATGTATAAAATTGACAACCTATCATATCAACTAATAAAAGTCCTTCTCTAACACATTTTCAAATTTAAATTTTATATTTTTCGGTGGTATTCCAAAAAATACCCTGTAGTTTCGCTATGTTGCATTTACACACCTCACTTGATCTTTACAACAGTTTCATAACTTAAACTTTTTTAAACTTTCAGTTATATACCACTACTTATTTTTTGGAGGTACTTATATACCCTAAAAATTTTAAAAATTTCACTTAAAATAGCATAAAGGTTTTAAAACTGACACTTCAAATTACCTAAAGTTTTTAAAAGTTGCTCTTAAATACCCTCAAGCTTGCATAACTAAGGTATTTAACTGTAAGTTTTAAAAATTTTAGGATATTAAGTGCATGTTTTTTAAACTTTAGGGTATATAAGTGCTGCCAAAACAGGTGAGGATAGACAAGAGCAAGTTTCAAAAAATTTAGGGTATGTTGCCAAAAACAAGTGTAGATATATAAGCTCAAAGCGGGAAAACTATAGGCTATCTATGCGCAATTGAGCCTTCTAAAAATTAACTAAACAACAACAATAGCGACATAACTTTTATTACAAACGGCTAAATTACTAGATTGGTATTAAAAGTAATACCAAATAGCCAGATTTGTATTAAAATTATCTCCGGTGACAGCAAGGCATTTAAACTTACGCGATGAGACAAATAGGCTCAAAAATAAACTTTCCAACCAACTTTTCCGGCGACCACTCGTATAATCTATCACATGATGCTTATGTGACATATTTATGATAACATAGTGGCTGCATTTAGCCTAATTCAAACCATTAGATATGTATATTTTCATATTAGTGTAAAAGCAAAGATGAGTTTTTTTTTAATTTGGAAGCTTCTTCTCCTTCTTTTATCAAATTAGGGTCCCCATTGCTTGGGAACATGAAATCCTTGAGCTCAAGCAGCGAAGAACCACCAATTTGAAGAAAGAATGAAGAGTCCCAATTTTTTTTTAAAAAAAAAATCCATCTTTTTTTACCCTATTTTGGGAATCACCCATTCTAATGGTTGAATGAGGCTAACTACAGTTGTCACGCCATCATAAACATGCCACTTAAGCACGCGGCAGATTACCTGAGTGGTCGCCGGAAAAATGGCCGGAAAAATTATTTTCGAGCCTATTTGTCTCATCATGCAAATTTAAATAATTTATTGCCGTCAAAGATAATTTTAATACATTGTTCTTTTAATGCCAATCTCGTAATTTAGACTACAAAGGGATAATATTCTTATAACTACTTACTACTGGTAATGCTTTCGTGGTTTCGTGGCACACCGCAAAAGACATGGGGGTTTCGCATCGAAGTAGTAAAAGCTCAGGGGTGTTATCTCGAAGCAGCCTAAACTTCTAGGGAGGTTTGTGAAATTTGCCCCAGCTCGTTACATCACGGCTATTGTGCTCCGCATCTGGATCCTATGACCGAGCGGGGGGGGTACCCAAATTATCGGATCTGGGTGAAAAAATTGCGCGTGCCAAAATTTCATCTATAAATAACACCCTCTCCTCATTTCCCCCAGTCTCTCTCTCTCTCTCTCTCAGCGGAGAACCATCAAAATCAAGAACGCGCGCTTCTTCGATTCCACGAGGTCAGCCTTTTTCTTAACTTGTTCCCGCGTCGGATCTCGGATCCGACGTCGTTCCTTCATTTCGCTTTGATCCGCGTGACCTCTCGAATTTCTCGTCGAAAACTGATGGAGGAATTCATTCTAGCTTTTGACGATTTTTTTTTTTTTTTTTTACGGGGGATTCGTCGGTTTCTGAAGGATTCTAGAGAATTCTTGGAGCGATGTATAAACTAAGCGTCTGCAATGCTAAGATCGTGTTCTGTTTATTTCCGTTATAATTTATGGTTCATTTTAGGTTTTGACGGTTCCTTTTGGCGCGAGATTCGTCGATTCTGAAGGATCTGACGATTCTTTGGATCGGAGTTGGTAGGATCCTGTGATCTCTTGCTCCAGGGTTTCTCTGAGCTCAGAGGCCTGCGAGCTCTATTGATCACACACTTGATTACGAGATCGATGTATTTTTGCATGTAGATCGTGTTCTTTTTGTCTTAAAAATTGAAAGGTTTCTTTTGGGAAAATTTACAAAATAGACCATTTTTATGAAATATATAGCGAAATACAACACTTTGAAAAATAATTAGTAAAATAGATCTTTTTTGAAAAAAAGAGGTTGATTTTGAAAAACAAGGCTCAGAAAACATACGGGACTACTAGTCCCGTATGTTTAGAGCCAACTAATCAGGACTACTAGTCCCGTATGTTTAGAGCCAACTAATCACGGATTAGTGACTCAGAAAACATACGGGACTAGTAGTCCCGTATGTTTTCTGAGTAGAAAATTTCACTAATCCGTGATTAAAACATACGGGACTACTAGTCCCGTATGTTTTCTGAGCAGTTTTGCAAAATAGACCTCTTTTTGGCCTGTTGGCCAAAAAGAGGTCTATTTTGCTAAATAATTAGCAAAAACGGTCTATTTTGTAAATTTTCCCGTTTCTTTTTTATGGTTTTCGGTTTGATGACCTAAATCTAGTGGCCTCTTGGATGTGAGAATGCTAAAAGATAATTAGAGGTTAGACCTTGAGATGTAATCAGACAAATCACGAGTTAATGGTACCATGGTCTAAATGAAAGTGTCTTTGAACGTCTGCTGAATTTTTTATCAGTACGTTCAAACAAATATTTCCCAAATGAAAGTGTATTCTATTTATTAATTTTACACCTTTTCGCATCCTTGCTTAGAAAAGTGTCGTAATTTGAAGTCATGTTTCGCATCATTTGGGAGGCATGAAAAATTTTAAGCAGAATATCATTGATTTGCATTAAACAATATTCAGAGCAGTAGCTTCCATAACAAATCTTTCTTTGTTTTTTCGTCATAGCGAGCCATTTCCTTATTATTGCATGACCTAATCTATAATGATGGATAATTTTTCGTGAAACAATATTATGAATAATGTCATTATTTGAAACATACGGGTGCACAAATATGACCTTTTTCTTCTGTTTCAGACGATAAGAAATGGCTGACGGTGAGGATATCCAGCCTCTCGTTTGTGACAATGGTACTGGAATGGTTAAGGTTCGGCATCACAACCCATTAGCTGCCTATCCTTTTGTCCTGTTGCATCACTGTATAACTATATATTTGCCTCTTTTGGTGTCCTACTAGGCTGGATTTGCTGGTGATGATGCACCCAGAGCTGTGTTTCCTAGCATTGTAGGTCGACCTCGCCACACTGGGGTCATGGTTGGTATGGGACAGAAGGATGCTTACGTGGGTGATGAAGCCCAGTCTAAAAGAGGTATCCTCACCTTAAAGTATCCAATTGAACATGGTATTGTTAACAATTGGGACGACATGGAGAAGATTTGGCATCACACCTTCTACAATGAGCTCCGTGTTGCCCCTGAGGAGCACCCGGTGCTTCTAACTGAAGCTCCTCTCAACCCAAAGGCAAACAGAGAGAAGATGACCCAGATCATGTTTGAGACCTTCAATTGTCCTGCAATGTATGTTGCAATCCAGGCAGTTCTTTCTCTGTATGCTAGTGGTCGAACAACTGGTAAGTATATATCTATGTTCTTAATGCAATGCATATTACTACAATATCTGCCTCCATTAATTTATGTCGTTGATACTCCTTTTTGGATAGGTATTGTGCTGGATTCTGGTGATGGTGTCAGCCACACTGTCCCAATCTACGAAGGATATGCTCTCCCACACGCAATTCTTCGTCTGGATCTCGCTGGTCGTGATCTGACCGATGCCCTGATGAAGATCCTCACTGAGCGAGGTTACTCCTTCACTACAACTGCAGAGCGGGAAATTGTGAGAGACATTAAGGAGAAGCTTGCATATATTGCCCTCGACTATGAGCAGGAGCTTGAGACCGCCAAGAGCAGCTCTTCTGTAGAGAAGAGCTATGAGCTTCCCGATGGGCAGGTTATCACTATCGGGGCAGAAAGATTCAGATGCCCGGAGGTCCTCTTCCAGCCAGCTTTGGTTGGAATGGAAGCTGCAGGAATTCATGAGACCACATATAACTCTATCATGAAGTGCGATGTTGACATTAGGAAGGATCTCTATGGAAACATTGTTCTCAGTGGAGGAACTACCATGTTCCCTGGTATAGCTGATCGTATGAGCAAGGAAATAACAGCCCTTGCACCTAGCAGCATGAAGATTAAGGTTGTTGCACCTCCTGAAAGAAAGTACAGCGTCTGGATCGGAGGTTCCATCCTCGCCTCGCTCAGCACCTTCCAGCAGGTAAGCTCTTTGCTTACAACAATTGGCATTTTCTTTAAACCTTTATTTTGTCCCATGTTATCTTGTTTGATCAAAATCAAGAAAATTTCCGTATGCATTTCACTCCAGCCTAGAATTGCGTCTTTAAAACTTGAATTTGTTTAAGTTGGAAGTTATGAAATTTAATAAGGAGCAAAAAAGTGCTGAATAATTACAGAACCACTTGAACTAAAATTGAATTCTGAAGATTTTGATGAAACCCATGTATGAAATTTGTGGCTATACCTTCATTAGAGAAAATGCCTGAGAAAATGGACAAAAAGTCAATGAAATGAAACAATCAATTATCAGATGCGTACTAATGAAATCCATACATCTGAGCTTACCCAAGAAGCAATTCAAGTTTGAGTTTTTCATCATCACCTGCCGGTAGGCATTGGTTCATCAGGCAGACCTTATATGACATGCAATTATGTAAACCCAAAACCTTCTGAACATAAATCAAGGTAGCCATTTTTAACCATGACTCTTGACTTAGTTTTGTAAACAATCTTCAGTTCGTCCAACTATATTAAAAACGTCCTATAATCGCAGTCACCCAATTTTAATTGTTCTGGATTGGCAGATGTGGATCGCTAAGGGAGAGTACGACGAGTCTGGCCCTTCAATTGTTCACAGGAAGTGCTTCTAAGTTGGTAGTCGTCCAATTCTTTCGAGCTTTCTTCATGCGTTTTTTTTGAGTCAGGAGTCTTGTAAAAGCTTGTTCGGTTTTGTGGTGGGGTTTACTACGCATAAGATTCATGCCTACTACTATGGCCCAATAAATCTGGGAGCAAGATGGTACTATTTTTCAGTTGAAATAAGGTGGTACTAATTTTTGTTCGCCATCGTATTTTAGCTTTTAGCTATTTAAGGCGTCTTTGAGTTTTTGGTGTTAGTTGATAATTTTAGAGATAACAACAGCCAGAATTCTATTTGTTTTGGTTACATTTTTGTTAATAAATTTTATGAGAAATATTTGACGTTTTTTTTAGACTGAGGCATGATCGTCTAGTCTACTCTACGTGTATATATTTTGGTGGTGATCATTATTTGGCTGATTGTTATTAGCAGAATACGGCATATATTTCAGTTTTTTTTCCCTCTGCTTCTTAAATTGGGTAAAGCTTGTGAATGGACTACAAAGCAAATTGAGCTGATATCCACTATTAAAATTCTAGCTTATGTACGGAATATGTATATAGCTTCCTAAACTCAGTATTTTACCCTTTTACCCTCTTCAAATACTATCTACGTATGTTACCATTGTACATTACCGTTGACGTCCATGTTGTTAGGAATCATGTGCGTCTTTTAGTTGCATCTGGATAGCTTTCATCGTATTTCCCCCCTCCTAGTC